CTTGAACTGAAATAAGCCTAAGGACCTTAAGATGACTGGTGTTAAAAGTAGACTGTCTAAATTGGAAGACTAATTGGTTCCTATCTCTAGTCAGATTATAAACTAGTCTTCCATACAAATAATGGGAATCAAAGAACACATGCCAACATAATCATCACTGTACTATTGCTAAGAGAGCCATAAAGTACTATAAACACCATAAAGCTAATTGTCTACCTGCACTATTCAACCTCTAGAGACATTTCCTGTAATGACTAATGTTGGGGGAAGAATTGGTCATCTAATATGGATTTTCATAACCAGTCATGATAAGGGTAGAAGTAGGTGTGATCAAAACCTGTTAGTGTGTGCAAGACCCAGTAGAGTTGAAATGCATTTGCACACTTTGTTTTGTTTTTCACTATGAAGTTAATAAGCTTTTAAGAATTCCACTTCCCCATTTACCCAATAATCTTGAATTCAGAAATATATAATTCCAATTAACTTTTTTAAGCACTGCCATAACCCAAAACTTTTGTAGCAAATGGTTGTGATCTCCACCTTTTCTGAACAGCCATCATCATGCCCTGGTTAAATTATTTGTATAAATGAGATCTTAAAAGTATATCTAAACCCAGGAACAAAAATTGAATGAATTGCAGCTTACCAGCCCTTAGATGTGGTGGCTGCATTTGTTTTCTATTTTTAAAGCTCTTGTGCTGCAGGTCGTTGAGATCAATAGATGATGGCATCACCTACAGATTTATCTGTGTACCTGCTCAGAACAGTTCTTACTCTTTTACAATATGTAACTGTACTGTACATTTCCAAATCTGGAAAGAATTCAAAAGCTAAACAATATGCTGTTACAGACTGCTGCTCTTTACTGCGGAATAGGTCTCTGTGCCTAGCTTAAACTGTTTTTCTGTGAATTTTTTTTCCATTGTACTGCTAGTTTTTTAATTTAATATAAATTTTAAAAAATCCCTGTACCTAATCTACATTTTTTATTTAACAACAAAAATCTATCTTAATGCCCCAATTACGTGACACTCCAAGTCCCAAGCCTTTCATTGTCTTTTCCGTCGTGTGTGTCTGTTCTACAGGCACTTTGGCTGTCATAAAGGGCCCATCACAGGATCCTGCAGCATTCAGAGGTGACTTCACATGGTGAACCCAAGGCCAGTTGGTTAGGCCAGTGAAGAGAACAGAAGGCAGCTTTAGACAACAGATTACCAGTGTCTACAGAAAGAGATGCCCTGGCGATCTGTTGATAGTGAATTCAGATAAATTGTATGGCTTTTTTAAATTTAAAAATCAAATATTAGATGTGGGAGATAATTTTTTTTTTTCTTTGCCTGGAGTTGGGCTTTAAAGTGACCCTGTCAGCACAGAATCACTTTGTATGGTAACGCATACCTGCAATAGTAATTATGATTACCTTTCCAGTGGCCCTTTTATTAATATAACACTAAAAAAACAGCAGAAAGGCATCATGGCACACTCACAAAACCAGCATGTAAAACAACATGTCTCACCACTAAGGATAATGACAGAGGTTTGGATACACGTCTTCAGCCGAGGATGTGTAAGCCGCACTGCCGCGCCAAGGCACCTCACTATGAGAGTCTCCATCTTGGAGCACACGGGGGCAGAAGATATCAAATTGGGTGCAGGTTTGTCAGGAGGACGCCCCCATGTGCTCCAAGATGGAGACTCTCATAGTGAGGTGCCTTGGCGCGGCAGTGCGGCTTACACATCCTCGGCTGAAGACGTGTATCCAAACCTCTGTCATTATCCTTAGTGGTGAGACATGTTGTTTTACATGCTGGTTTTGTGAGTGTGCCATGATGCCTTTCTGCTGTTTTACTGTTCAAAGCCCATTTCGTGTGCACCTTACTGTATAACTGGTAACAAATTGTTGAGTGCGTTTGTCGTTTGTTTTGCTTGCCTTTTATTAATATGTCACTTCTCCATGGCCACTGCAAATATTTGGCTAGATTAGTTGAATACCTGGTCTCCCTTCCATATGCAGTGCTTCCTCCAGTCAACTTATACATCCTGCGGCATATGAGCTATCAGGAAAAACCGCGCACAGTGTGCAGAGGGCGAGCAGGTTTTCCACACACCCACAAGTATAGAAATTTTGCAGTGGCTGGGGAGAAGCAGGGAAGTGGTATATCAACAAACAGGCCACTGGAAAATAGTATAGTGCATCTTCTATTGTAGGTATGCTTTATCATAGAACGTAACCCCATGCTGATGGCATCTCTTTAAAAAATATCTTAAGCAAAATATTTTTTGTTTTAGATAGAGTAGAGGAGTAGAGAAGTGTTCAAGCCACTGTCAAGTATTTACTGTTGATCAGGAAACAATGACATCTTCTACTAAATAACTATAAATTATCTATTTTATAGTGAAGACTTCTGCCTTCATACATCAACTTACATCAAATTCCCATCACAGAGTATGACTTACCATCAAACACTTACAGGGCTATTCGCAAAAGGGTGAAGAGTTTGGAGAAGGCAGGAGAAGTGAACAATCTAGGACAACATAGCTGGAAAGTGAGCGGGATTCGAGAATGTTTTCAAATCAGCTGTATTGGCCTGCATTGTTCACTTCTCCCACCTTCTCCAAACTCTTCACCCTTCAGTGAATGACCCTGTTAAAATTTTGCAGGTGAGAACCAGCTGCAAAAACATTTTGTGTGGACTTTCACAGTGACTGATCATCAGAATACACCAGAAGCACTGTGTTGCAGTGCAACACATTTTTCAGTTAAGGCCCAACCGCAGAAAAATCATGTGTGCAACACTTGCAGTGCCAGAACTCCAGAATAGCACAGTAAAGGGAACAGAAGATAGATGGTGTAGCAGTTTGTTTTCCAATATCCATTCTCTTCCTCTCTTCTTTTTAAGTTGTTGTTTGATTTATAATTGAAGACACGATTGTGATGTAGTTTACATATTATTATACAGTATGTGTTCGCTGTATTTTGTGTGTGGATTTTATCAATATGATGCTCGTTTTATTTGTAGATGTTCTCTGGAATCTTTTTGAGTTAGTTTGTTGGTATGGAAATGTTTCCTCACTTGGGTTTCTATTTGTATAGGGCTGGTTGGATGGGATGGATACATTATAATTAAACAAGGGTGTGTCTTTACTGTAAGCAGTAAGATTGAGAACAAAATATGTAAGCTGCTGTTTTAGTGCATTTAACTTGTAATATATAATAAAGCTGCCTTTTTTGTCATTTAAATATCTTTGACCTTAGTTTTGGATAGAGTGCAAAGTGGATAGAACCCCCGTCTGTGTTCCCACTTGGCACTCTTTATTTGACTATTGCCACTGGGACATTTTGTGATGGAAAGTCCAAAACCTTATGCTGTAACCAGAACAGAAAGTATGGAGAAATCTTCCAATACCTGTTCCCTGTGGCAACTGTCTAAGAGAAGAGTTTAAGTGTTATCTTGTTGAAGTTCAGGGACACAATGTATGGCGAAATCTCCCCAACAGGTCACAGAAAACAAATTAAAACCTCACAAAAATACATTCGAACACTTAGGGGCATATTTTTAAAACAGTGACTGTCTTTTACTCAGCATTCACTGGTAGAAAATCAACTACTGTAATAAAAAAAAAAACACATGCAGCCTTGTGTAACCCTAAAGCTTAAAGGAGAACTATGGGGTCAGTGTTTTTCCCCATAGTTCTCCTTAGGGTAACGGGAGCACACAAACTAGCGTCCTCCCGTTAACTTTAATTCCTGTCCTTAATGCTGATCTAACATAACCCTCCCAAAAATTTGTACCTCCTACTATAAATTAGCCCTTCTTCTGCATTTTTACCTTGTGCTGTGCCAGAATCAGTTACACTGATTCCTCGAGGGTCAGTGCCAAAATATACCAGCACTGAGTTAAGAGCACCGATAACCACCGATAATCTGTGAGCTTCAAAATAGCATTTTCCAAATAACCCTGAGCTAAATCCTTTTCTTAACGATATTAAACAATGCATGTATTTACCAGATATAATCAGAATGGTATGAGTTAGTAGACTTTCAAACAATGAAACATGTTTTAAAATCCTCTTAAAATTAATTGATCTGAATGCCCTTCCATTGATTTCCGTGTTGACAGGCTTTTCAAATTTTACATGTTCCTCTACACCTTAGCATGATTTGCACATGCTAACGACAATTTTTATTTTGACACTTTCTTCAAAAACTTGCTGTTTGATTCTTGGTGAGCAATTTCTGGGAGCATTTTTTTATCATAAGGTTTTAGATATCTACAGTCACAAAGAAAGCACTGCAAACATGATGTAATTGTTAATTAAAATGAGCTGAATACTAAATCGTTAAAATACAATTAATATTGCTTCATTAAAATTCGATTTTTTGATACCAGCATTCATTTTTATATCATTGTAATTACATATTTCTTAACTTTAAAATAAATCAGTAGCAAATTTAATTAAATTAACATAAACATTACAATAAATTATTACAAAAAATATTTTGTTTCTTAAATCTTTAATTGATAGCTCCTTTGAGGAGAGATAGTTGCACATGTGTATCATGCTAAGTTTCTAAACTTGGGAGATTTATCCCAGTTGAAAGTTTAAGGGAGCCAACCAACAACCTGAGTAATCAAAGCCCAGTGAGTAACAGGATCTTTCACTTTGTGTACAGACTGCAAATTATACTGTAAAAGACAAGTAGTAATGTATTTTTTTTCTTTCTTTTAATTGACCCAATAAAAATGTACAATGTATTACTAAATAAACATATTTAACATCATTCATAATTATTACAACAGAACACACTCAATTTCAATCTGTTGCCCAAGACAATGTGGTCTTTTAGATTTAGCACATACATATCAAACAAGGGCTATGTTCTTTACAAAAATATTGGCATTTTAATATTTATATTTTATATTACAATGCAGGGCTTCTTAAACTATTTTATAATTCTATATGGAGATTTCGATTAATCACAATGTGTTTATTTACAGAAAGTGTTCTGCGTTTGCAAGTGGATTCCTGAGAATACAAAAAAACAGATGTCTGTGCCCTCACATTCGAGCAGTTCACAAGTACGTGCCTCGAAGAGCTGTACTGTATATACCTGGAAATGATGAAAGAAAAATCCAAAAAATAGCTACTCTCAATGTAGACTGTGCAGTTCTAGACTGTGAAGATGGCGTAGCTATCAATAGAAAGGTATGTAGTTACATTTTATTTTAATGGAAATAAATAATTGGTAAACGTCAAATCTAACGTGTTTTTTCTATGTTCAATATAAAACATTTCAGTCACTTTACTGAAGCTTCAGTTTTACAGACATGGTCTGAAATGGTCATTAACAAGCCTTAGTTTTTGCCACCAGGAGGCAGCATTCACTTCCGGGGTCTACAATGGCAGGTCCAGCATGGGAAATCTTTTGTTTAAGACATCAAAATTGAGAAACAAACACTAAAAATTCTTACTATTGTGTAATTGTTTATTGTGTTTGAGGGATTGTTTACACCATGTCCGGACCAGATCTAGACTGGAACAGTTTTTGTCCGCACATGAATATGCACCCTTAATGTATTCATATGGTATTTCTGGGCTCTGTTCACACCATTGCAGTCCGGGGAAAAAAATGTTGCATGCACGATTTTTTCTGGTCTGTGAGGTATGTCAAGGTGTTGTCAGGCATATTGTAACCAGGCTTCTTTGGGGCATTGGTGCAGTAAAAGCTTCTTTCTGGCAACTGGACCATGCAGTTCATTTCAGTTCTTCTGGGGTTACCAGTGGATTTTTCTTTGTATCCAGAACAATTCTGCCAGTTGTGGCTGCAATCTTTCTTGGTCTACCTGACCTTGGCTTAGTATCAAGAGATCCCCCAATTTTCCACTTCTTTATAAGTGATTGAACAGTCCTGATTGGCATTTTCAAGGCTTTGGATATCTTTTTCTGTCCTTTTCCATCTTTATAAAGTTCCATTACCTTGTTACGCATGTCTTTTGACAGTTCTCTTCTGCTCCCCATGGCTCAGTATCTAGCCTGCTCAGTGCATCCACATGAGAGCTAACAAACTCATCAAGTATTTATACACAGACACTAATTGCAATTTAAAAAGCCACAGATGTGGGACATTAACCTTTAATTGCTATTTTAATCTGTGTGTGTCCATAAAGAGGCTAAACATTCCAGGGTATGTAAACGTTTGATCAGGGCTATTTGGGGGATTTCTGTTATGATTTAAAAATGAAAAAAACAACTATGTGATAATAAATGGCTTCATATGATCACTATCCTTAAATGGCATGATCAGTCATTATTTATCAATGCCAAAATTTCACCATTTCTGCCAAACATTCGAGCATGTCTGTAAATACTTTAGGCTGAATAGTCCAGGGTTCAGGGCAGGAATAGTCCAGGGTTTTAAAATTGTGTGCAAACCCTAACAATTAACTTTTTTCTTATTTGCCTTCTTTTTTCTTTCAAATATACCATTGAAACCTTTCCCCTATCCTACAACAACTAAGAAACAAATGTTCAAGCTGTCTTTCACTTCCCTTGAAACCTGTTGGACAGATCAACTTAATAAAAATCCTTTTTCTCTCTAAGTTTGCATACATATCCAGGAATCGTCCCATATACATTCCCAAAACTTTCTATACCAAGAGTTCTAGGATGTCATTCCCTTTTATATGGTCCGGTCACACCCCAAGATGGTCCCTACCCTTCAGTTTTCAACTAGAAGAAGGGGGTTCGCACTCCCAAACTTTCAGCTTTATTTTTTGGCTGCTGTCATAATAACCATGCACTGGCGGTTTTCATAACTCTGCGGTCGAATTAGAGGCTGTGGTGCTGAAGTCATATGCCATGCTTCAGAACTCGGTATTCAGGGGCTTTCACTCTTATCCCGATGTCATGGCCTCATGATGACAGTTCCTAAAATCTGGCAAACAGCTTGGAGAAATATCTATATCCAGAATGTCTCTCGTCCTTCACACCCCTTTGGGGACAATCCTACTTTGCCTCAGCTGCAAACCATACCAGATCCACAATTGTGGGTCAGCTGTAGCATCAAAACTATACAACATGTTATGGGCACTGGCACTCCTATCCCATTTTAGATTTTGAACGTTAATTATGACCTTCCAAACTCAATGTTTTTTTAGGTATCTGTGGCTGAGGCATGTCCTTTAAGCCCAATTCCTAAATCCTCTGCAGCTATTGGTAGAACTTTGGAACCCCTCCATTTTCCTCCCGGGTCTCGTGGACAACTTTTATCTGCCCAAGTCCACTTTTTCAGTTAGGTCATTTCAAAGTGTATCCTATTAACATTTGAAATTTAGCACTTGTAGCCAATAATAGGTACACTTGAGTCTGCTCTCCACTATTTTTGATGAGTTATTTTACTAACATGTTTTGAATAGCCTGCATTGATAGTAATCATAATTAATTGTAATTGATACAATCTGCTATTTATAGTCTTTTTACAATACACACACAGCTGAGTGAGTCAGAGCAGGGACATCCTTCTCTGTCTAGCTCATATAGAGCAATTTGGCATTTCTTGTAAGGTGACAGAGTCAAAAAAGGAAGCAGGCTTTCTTGTTAAAAAGTTCAATATTTTCTTCAAATTGAATTAGATGGAAGCACCCTGCAATTTATTTACAACTTTACAGACTGTGCATGACTACAATTGACATAAAGGAATGAAACAGTTTATGAATTTAACTACCTCCGGGCCGGCCGTAGTAAAAAAACGGCCGGCCAGGAGCTCTCTCGATCTGAGCGGGCGTCTCTAGACGTCCGCTCAGACACGCCCCCTTGCGCGCGCCGCCAGGGGGAAATGGCCGGAATTTAAAAACGGGCAGCGATGCCCGTTAATATACATGCGATCCGCACATGTTTATAGACTTAAAGCTCTAGGCAAACAAGATATATGGAAATTGTTTTGCCTGCAAATCATTATTTTTTTATCTCTGTCTAGCTAGTCCTGAGATTTATACTGCCCTAATAGGTAGCAAAGCCAACCCGCTGACCTGACTTTTCTCTTCTGCAGTTAAAGCAAAGCAGCTGGGTCACCTCCTTGCCCATAACCTGTAATTGGACATTACAAGAGCCATTGGAGACCAAAGGTATTATTCTTTTGGCCTTTCCTCCTAGTTGGTTCCTTGTCCATTCATGTGCATGCAGCATACCTGTTTGGTCCCTAATGCTGCCCCACTTTTACCCAGCCTAAGTTCTACTGTACAAGGGTTACAAGAGATTGATACAAAGCTAAAATCATAACCATACACTAACTGCATTTAAAAACAAATGTAATGATTTCTAATGAATACCTAGTAACATTAATTATTTATATTTCTTATATGTTCCTGGAGTTCAGCCTGGAGTTGTGGTGAACTTAGGGACTGGAGTGAGGTGAAGAAATAAAAAAAAAATTGTTTTGTTTAATTTTGTTCTTCATAATATGTCAGTAATGTTAAACTAAGATATTTTGTCAGTACAACATACATAGACTTCTTATCAACAAAAATCTGTTGAAGGCCGTTTAAAAAAATGTCAGCACGTTTGTTGATCTTAAAACAACCTGGAGTGAAGGTTTGATGACCATAAACACACAATTTTTGCTAATTGTTGTGCATTCAAAATCTTTGCTACCAGCACAGTTTATCAGTGTAGAAAAAAAACATGATTATAGCTGTACCAGAAGGAAATGTGTCCCTATACTAAACTTTAGAAATTGGCCCCCTTCATTTGCCATCAATGATAAGCTCTTCAAATTAGGATTAATAAATGCAAACAAGGCTTAATCTGTTTAAACTTTCTGCTTAATCTTCCTAAAATGTAAACAACATTTGTGATGCCTTTGAGATGGAAAATGATTGGACTCCTGAGACACTACTTATCCCGTTCAACATTTTCATTTTACAACTTCAAAGTGAAATTTATACATTTATAGAGGGTGTTAAGTGTAGCTAGACGGAATTTGTTTCTTGGCTGTTTAGTTAAAGCCAACAGGGATTAAATTAGAGTTTATAGTTCTGGGTAAAAATGTGTATTTTTTCCTTACTGCCAAATAAGATTTTTAGATCACTGAAAACATAATCCTATTACCATGTTGATAGATGCAGTGACATTACATCTTACACATTTTTATGGATTAACTGCAAATGTATTAATAATGACTGTTTTCTATTAGCCCTTCAAAAGTGACAGTAATTGACACAATCTACAAAAATACATGAATACTCATAGTTGGCAGCACAGTGAAATGGCCCTGTGTTTCCACCTGACAAACCTAAACTCAGGGGACATAATATTATATTACAATTATGGAAATGGAGGACAGAGTGAAACAAATGAGACTGGCTCAAGCAGCCATCATCAAGTGAAACAAAAGAAGGTGAACAATAAATATCATCCCTGCTATTAGTTATACAATGAAACCTCTTAGAAGATACACACTTGCTCATTTGTTATAGTTTTCTTCAAAAATATATGTATAATATATTCATATCTGTAAACACTTTGAGGTGGAAGTAAAGGCAATTTCACAAAAAACTAAATTCAGGATTTATATAGCGCCAACAGTTTGCACAGTACTTTACAACATATGGGCAGACAGTACAATTACAAAACAATACCATACAAAAGTATTAGTATGCACAGCTTATTAACACATTATGGCATGGTGACAAAGCAGGAGCACAACTGTTACCTGCCAAAGTGATCCCCTCCATCTCTGATCTCCTCCCTCACCGACACTTCCATCTTAAGCTCAGTCGTCTTCTGGGTTTCGAGTTTAAACCTGCTTGATTGGCCCCCGATGACTTAACATCTGTGCATGGGAGTGACTTCATCTTGCAATATCGGGTCTGTTTGCTGCGCACATGTATTAGGTGCTGCTCCAGGTTGGTCCACTTGGATCCACTGGCAGGGCTTGCAACTAGCCACGAAATACACTGTGCATACAGTATAAAGAAACACGGCCTGTATTAACTGAAGATCAGTGCGTAATCTTTTATTCATCAATTGGCATACAGCAAGTGTCTCAGACAAAATCTTTAATGCGTTTCATGCATACTTGCACTCTATGATTAAGCGTACATAATTTTTTTTAAACTTTACTTTTGATTTAAGAAAGAAACTTAAAGGAGAACTATTAAATTGTCACACTTCGGCTCAATAGATCAGGAAGTGAGCGAATACATAAC